TCCTGACCTGCATAGCCTGTCACCCCTGCAATCAGAAGCTACATCTGAGCTACAGCCACACATGTGAGCTGGAGCTCAAGCCCTTCCTTGATTTCTGGAAACTTCTATTTGCTGAAACACTTTAAAAGCAGACAACCCAAATCCCGTATTTGTTTCCTTTGTTTAGGAAAATGAACACTGTTAGGGATGAAGGCAAAGTCCTCAGGCCGCATTCACAGGATGGCTTTGACTGATGAAGACGGTGGAAATTTCCACACAGCAGCATTTCACAAGGATACTTCCAGAACGTAGGGACATCCAGGGTCCAAAGTGTTCAAGTTGATTCAAAGGCAGAGCTCTCTGGAAACGTCTGCGGCCTCTGGCTCATTTTCAGGCTTCTCTAGAATCTAGCTGAGCCAACATGATTCACTGAATTCTTTATGAATCAAGAAGCTGTAAATTACATACCTTTTCTTTGGAACATGTATGACTTTCCATATTTTTTTTTAAAGCCAAGATGGATGAATAGCATGACAGAGGCCGTTTTCTCTGTGGGAAGACACCTCCTGGCCCTGCTCCTCAGGGGAAGGGGACTTCGGGAGGTGGCAGGCGTGGCTGGGGAAACGGCCCCACTTGGCAGTCTGGAGTTTGAACATGTGAAGTGCTGTCTGTGTAGGCTATTTCCTGGGAAAGTTCCCGAGCCCAGACGTTCTGGCCTTGCCCAAGTCACACGTGTGCAAGCGGAAGAATGAGAGAAACAACGTGAGGAATCATTTTCACGGAAGCTCAGGGGCTGTGGGGTGGGTGTGGGGGGAAGGAGGGAGAGGCTTGGGCAAGAATGGGAGGGCTCGTCCTTTCCTGGAAATCATAGCAGTTGCTTCTCCTTCTGGAACATTCACTCTCACGATGGGCGTCCCGTGTGCCAGACATTCTCGGCTCTGGAGGTAAAGTGGTCTGCATTCAGCTGGACAAGGAGGCCACCTTTGGGGAGGAGCCCCAGTGCGCCTGCGCTCCCACGAAGACTCCCAGATCCAAAGAGGAGTCAGTGCCCTCCCCCCGCGGGGCAGACACAATGGCCCTGGACACACAGAAGGGAGCCTGGGACCTGAGCCTTGTCCCTGGGATGGGTGCTGTGGGCCCACTGCGTTCCGATGTCCCCACTGACGGAGTGAAAGATGTAGGGTCTGGTTAAATACCCATGAAGAATGGCTTGGAAAGAAACTGCAAGCATGAGAGAGCCCAGCTGTTGGCAGAAAACATGGAGGAGAGCTGTAAGATGCGTAGCTGTCTATCTGGGAATGAATAGCTATGGAAGGTGATCCTGAGAAGAAGCCCAGCATTCTTTTCCATCAGGAAGCGACCTGCCCCGGTCCAAGAGGGCACTGAGTGTCCTGGGTTCTACTTCCGCTGGGGTTTGGGCTGTCCCCACCCAGACCTGGCCTGCCCCTGTGGGGAACAGAGTGTCCTCCTCACCCCCACTGGCTCGGTGGAAGCCTGGCCTCCTTTGCCTCTTCTCGTCTTTCACATAGGGCCCTGCCCGGCCGCCTGGGCCGGGCTCAGCTGTATGCTAAACAGCTCGGCAGGGCTCCCAGCCAAACACTGACTTAGGTTTTTGGCCACTGGATAAAGCCATAGCCTTCAGGGGGCTGAGATTATGGTGTGGCACCCAAACTTCAGGCCAGCAATGTGTCAGGGTGCAGGAGGTGTGCAGAGGAGGCCCTGGTACCCTAGCCTGGACATGGAGGCTGCACAGCCCAGCCAGGTCAGCGCCCTGTCAGCCTGGCCCTGGGACACTGGCTCCTCACAGCTGTCCTCAGCTAACAACACCCTCTTGTGAGTCACAGGACCAGTCCTCTAGGCTTGCCAAAGTGAAGATGGGCTGTGACAGGGGCAATTTTATTTCAACAGACCAACGAGATGGAATCAAATGTTCATATATATATGAAGACAGTAGGCTGTCTTCCAAATCAACAACTACCCTGTGGACGAGAACACAGTCTTCTGTCCAAGTCAGACTGCAGCAGGGTCATGAAGGACTTAAAGCAGACTCGCTCGCCGCGTCCTCCCCCCTCCCCACCCCCCTCCCCCTCCCCGGCCATTTCCCCTCTAACATGTTGGGGAGTTCTGTGCTCCACTGCTGGAACCCAACCAGAAGGCAGCTGGTGGCTGGCTCTCGTCTGGAGAAGATACTCCTTCATCTTGCTGGGTACAATTCCAGCAGGAAAATCTCCCGGCAGTTTCTCTGGTCCCATAATCTCTGCAGTGGCCAGAGCTTCCAAAATGTTAAGACTCTGTCCCCACTACCAACTTTCAACACTTATTTTTTTGCTTGTTTTGAGATACCATCTTTCTTTGTATCCTAAGATGTCCTCAAACTTAAGATCCTCCCATTTCAGTCTCTCCAGTGCTGGGATTACAGACATGTGTCATCATGCCTAGATCTGTACCGACTTAAGAAAAATCAGCCGGACATACTTGCTCAAGTCTGTAAGCCTAGCTGCTTGGGCTATAAAGATTAGGAGATGGTGATACAAGGCCAGCTCAGGCATAAAAGATCAAGAGAATCCATTTCAACCAGTTAATGGGAGCAGTGGTACACACCTACTATCTCAGCTATAGGGAATCACAATAGCTGGGTGCAGTTGCATATACCTGTCACCCCCAACAACAGGCGTGAGAAGATGAGTTGGAGGTCTGAAGCCCACACCAGCCTGGGCATAAAGTAAGACCCTATCTCAAAAATAACCAGTGTAGGCCTGGTGCTGGTGGTTCACGCCGTATAATCCTAGCTACTTAGGAAGCTAAGATCTGAGGATCATGGTTCAGATCCAGCCCAGGAAAGTCTGTGAGACCCTTATCTCCAATTAGTCACCAGAAAACTGAAAGTGGCACTATGGCTCAAAATGGTATAGCACTAGCCTTGAGCAGAAAAGCTTGGGGACGGCACTTAGGCCCTGAATTCAAGCCCCATGACTGATTAAAAAAATGAAGTAAGGAAGTGGGAGACACTGAAGTGGTAGAGCACCTGCCATGCAAAGATGAGGCAATAATTTAACCCTCAGTGCTACCAAAAGAATGATGATGATGATGATGATGATGAAGAAGATGATGTAGCTCAGTGACAGAACACTTGCTTGGCACACACAAGGTCCTAGGTTTCAGCCACAAAGCAAAGAAAGAAAGAAAGGAAAAAAACCTAAGACATTTTTTTTCTTCGCAGCTGGTAATTCCTTGTTCTAATGACTACAGGTTATTGTCTGTGTGGATGTGGGAAGGCCGTGACAGGGAATGATTTACAGAATGGCCAAAAGAAACTTGACAGAACATACAGCATTCCCCCAACGACTGCATTCCATGTTCAAGGGCAGAATTTCTAAAACTCATTTGCCTATCTGGCTTCTCAGCATGTTCTGATCTCAGTTGGTTTCTTAGTATCAGGATCAAATCAGAACCTTGAAATACAATTCTCACTAGACAGACTGCTATTTTTAAAAGAACATACACATATATTAACCCAAACCCAACACAACAATGAAGGTCATTGTAGACAAAATTGTTCCTCTAGTAAATGGGTCTCTGCTCTGGAGACGCACTGGTCGCTAAATGAAAAATATAACCACACTCGTGACACGCACGTTAAAGACAAAGTTGAAGGCTTTTCACATCAAATATTTAAAAATACAACATGATAAAAGCCAGTTATAAGACACCATCGACATATTTCACGGAAGGTAGCTGAGCAAATACATTTTGCATTTCCTTTATCTAAAAAATGCTTGATATAATGTTGGTTCCAAAATTTAGATTCATTCAGCCTTGGGAATATTTGCATGGATATAAAAGAGGTACGTTAGAGATATAACCCAAGTCTAAGAATGGCGTTTATTCCGGTTTCACCTGCACATTGTCATATTATACAACATTTTTAGTAGGCCCCCATATGATTGAGGCCTGGCCCATCACTTAGGCATGGTACCATGTTAGTACCAGTTTCCAGCTTAGGGCAGGTATACGAGAGTGTTAGGTTAAGGATGCTCACCTGTACAGAACAGAGAAGGGGGAGTTTTGCATCTGGTCTTAACCCATTGTTACCCAGGTGCCCAGAGCTGGATGAGATGCTCAGATTTCTCAACTCTAAATCAGACATGAAAGGAATACTGAGGTGACAGTAAAGTGTTCCCACAGTCAGTATCTAACACTGTGAGGACACAGTGGTTTGGACACTGTGACTAAAACAACTTCTCTCCAGAGACAAGGCTGATCGTCGGGGCTAGCAGCTGTAGCTCAGGCGCTGTGGACACACCCTTGTTGAGAAGTCCCTCAGCTCTTTCTTCCCATCCTGCTTGTGTCCCACAGCCCAAGAAGGTCCTGAGAACCCTTCAAGCACTTTCAGATCTTTTCCCCCTAAACACAGAGCTCTGGGGTAATGGGCAAGGTTTTGTCCACGCAGTATGCAACGACATGAGAAATGGAAATGGCTGGGGTCGAGATGGAAAGCTCTTATGGATGTGAGAATCCCCACACAAGGTCCCGAGGAGAGCAATCAATCACTGCCAAGATGGAAAGACGCCCAAACTTGGAGTCAGAGGACCAGAAACAATGGCTTGTGGAGGTGTTGATGCTTATGATGGAATTTCAGACAGCAGTACACCTGCATGATTTCCCCGAGTAAGTCCTGAGTCCTCCTAGAATCTAAAGGTCCTCATCTCAAAACCAATTCCCTGCCAGTTGTCAGAGGCTGGGATTGATTACAGGCATGTGCCACCACTCCTAGCTCAACCCTTCATTTCTTTAACCACAATCGTGCTGATCACAACTCCCAAGGAACAATCATTTCTTCTCTGGAGCCTGAAAACTTAGCATTAAAGACAAACTGAGCAAAGCAAATCAGAAAATCGTTTGAGCAAGTGTTGTAGGTCATCTAAGTTCTTCATAGATGGCAGGTGGAAGGGAGCTCCTTGGACTAGATTTATCAACCTGGATCCACGGAGAGACCATCTGTGTCATGCAGTAGGACTTACCAGATAGCGTTCCTCCTGCCTCATGCTTGGGGTCCGGATCATGTGATTCTGTTCCCCTCTCCAGTCTCCAAAGCGACGGAAAAAGTAGTTAGAGAGGAACCGGCTGACAGGGTCTCTGATGATGTTGATGTAGACGGGCTGGTCTCCTCCAAACCTAACACACGGAGGTACACAGACAGACGGAATATCATTACAGTGTGGAGAATCTAGAGGAAAAGAAGGCCTACTGGACAAGGTTTCCGTCTAGGTAACAAATGATTCTGGCAGTACCCTGTCTGCTGCAGTGTCCATAAGCACTTTAATGAATGAACAACCATGTTTCCTGATGGACTCTTATTATTATGGCCATGTAGGAAGAGGAAATGGTGACCTTTGACCGAGGCACCCACTGAGAGGCCCATCTAACAGTGTGGTGCTATTTGTCAGCACTAAGTTAGTGGCGGTGGGTTAGTAGTTAGTTGTGACACCGCCCTCCTCCACTGTGAGCCACACAGTCCCCGCTAAGGTGCTGTGAGTAGATTGGCAACAGCCAGCTATACTGAACACTCACTTCGGCTTTCCCTTCATAGTTCACATGGACATGGCAGTCTCCCTACAGCTCCATGGTGTAGAAACCATAATTGCCCCCATGTATACCGAGGGAAATGGAGGCAGGGGGAGGCTGAATCTGATGCCGTTGTACCAGATCATAAACCCACGTGAGCTGGCTCCCGAGTCAGGACTCTGAGCCAAAGGAGGAAAATTCCAGAACTGAGGAAAGTAATGATGTGAAGGATACCAAGAATGAAAACAAAAGTCATTATGCTGGGCCCCCAGAGATGGAAAGTGGGTGTGAAAAGAAACATGCCTAGGTGTTCCATTTTTATCCCTTCCACAAGGGGATTAAATACTGCACCAAAGCCAGATGTTTCCAACACAAAGCCAGGACACCAGTCTGAGCTAGAAGGGCCCCTCCCCTTCCTTTTTAAACTCCTTGAAAGCAGCAAGGGGAGAGGACAGAGGTCATGAGGTGACCCTCTCCCTGGTGTACTCTAGGATCCTCTGCCTATCTGATTTGTAGGTACCCTGACTTTTGTCCTGGGGTCAGAATAAGCTCAGAAAAAAAAAGATGGACCCAGTGCCTGTCTGCCTACCTGGCAGACTGCTCACCTCTCAAAATCCAGCCCCAAGTCACAGTCACCTCTTCAACCATCAACTCCAGCATTCTGCCTGTCCTTTGCTCCTCTATGCCCTGAGCCCTTCTTCCTTCCAGATTGTGTTGCTGGGGCCAGGAAGTATGTGATACAGCAGAGTGTGTGTGGCCTACAGTAGGTGCTTGACAAGAGGTAAATGGATGCAGAAATGGAGGCCTGGAAGAATATGTCCAGTTGTCATGTTTCTGCCAGGGTCAGGGGCTGTGCTGTCAGAGGAAAGTCAATACAACAAGCCACCGATGCTTTTTCATGCATTAATTTGTATAATGTGGTACCCAGGTTATTGCATTTTTAAAAGAGGATCTTGAGAGCAGATTCTAAAGGAATGGGTTGGACATGGATTTCGAGCACTGGGCCACGTGCATGGCTTTCTGCACCAGGAAGACACATGGCTCATGAGTCGTGGCAGCCTTACCACTGTGAATCTTGTCAGTCCCCAGATGACACTCAGGCTATGAGAGGAATAACCACTGTCTTCCAAGTTGGCAGTATCCACCACCCCCTAACCATCACATGCAAACTACATTCAGCATCCTCTTTTAATTAAATTGTGTTTCATAGCTATGATAAACAGCAACTGAAGTAGTTGCTGGGGGCCTAGGAAAACAAAACGTGCATGCCAAATGCGAGTTCCAGTTCTGTCCTCCAAAGTCACATTGTGTTTTGACAGACCTCAACTTTATTATGGGCGAAGAACCATCACCAGTAACCATCAGTGGAACTTCCTAGTTGTGGGAACCCCCCCATGACCCCCATTAGGAAACAGTTCTCAGCTTGTCCATTACCATGACACTATAGACATGAGGGATGATGGGCTTCTTGAGGATATGACTTGTTCCTACTTATATATCAAAACTGAGTGCCAAAAAAGCCAGGTGCCGGTGGCTCACACCTGTAATCCTAGCTACTCAGGAGGCTGAGATCTGAGGATCGAGGTTCAAAGCCAGCCCAGGCAGGAAAGTCTGTGAGACTCTTATCTCTTACCTCCAATTAACCACCAGAAAACCGAAAGTGGGGCTGTGGCTCAACTGGTAGAGCACTTGCCTTGAGCTGAAGAGCTTGGGGACAGCGCCCAGGCCCAGAGTTCAAGCCCTGTGACTGACAAAACAAAACAAAACCCAAAAACCTGAGTGCCAGAGGTCACAGAAAAAATTTCCCAAAAAAGAAGTTTTAAATGTTTTATAAACTCAGATCAGATGGTATAAGAGCCTCTCTGGAGAAACTTCTAACCATGAAAGAAGTGCCTAATCCTTTCCCTTTCCAGAAAGTGAATCCTTCTGGAAGTGGCTAATCTTCCCTTTTCATAATGCGTTTGGGCTGTCAACCCTTGGTCATTTTGGCATACATAGCTTCCTCATGATCGGGCAAAACCCAGGTACATGTCAATGGCACCTAAGATGCCAGGATACCACGGTGCTACAACAGAGGACATTGCTGTGTGTATAGCCCACCCCACCCATCTCCACATTTCCATTAATCTGCCCCCAGGAAACAATGGGAATTCTTCTCTCTTCACCCTCCGGGAAGCAGGGATTTCCCTTGTGCAGCTAACTTGCTACAAGAAGAAAAGTGTGATGATCTGGAGGCCTAAGGCTTTGATGTTTGTCAGCCAGTGAAGAAGGTACTCTGAAGTGTGGGAGGATGTGGTAGTCTGGGGACAGTGAGGGGCTGTCTGAAGGAGAAGGGTAGGGGCAGTTCATGAATGGTCTTTGGCTAGAAGCCAGTCACAGTAACTGGAGTTTTGTAAGTATTGGGCACTGGTGGGGCCCAGACACAGAAGTCATCCTCCATCCTCAGATCCTGAGCAGTAAGACAGGACCAGGAGAGCTCACAAGACAGGAGCACAGGAGACAGAACCAAATTCAGGTCTCTGGTGAGTCCCGAGGAAAGGCAGCAGCATTTGAGGGGAGAAATGGAGGCAAATGAGGCAAAAAGGAATCAATGGCTGGCCCCTTGCAGGTATGGTACCTGCTCAGGGAGGATGAGGGAGGTACAGCAGGAAGTAAACCACTGTCAAGGAGCAGCAGGAAATAAACAATACAGTATTTATTCAAAGAGAGCTTCTAGATTCTTTTCCTCTCTGATGGGCTACTCCTGTGGTCACAGAGACCCCAGGAAGGGAGCATCCCTGTGGGAAGCATAGTGAGGTAGCCATCGAAAGAGTAAGCTAATTAAAAAAAAAAAGCTCTCCTCTTGAAATCAAACTCTCAGCTCTGTTTAAGAAGGTGAAAGTGTTATACAGGATTGTGAGATGCAGAGAAGTCACATTTTGGGAAGTTGAATCAGATTCTTTATTAGAAAGCCAGCTACTGGGACAGACACATTTTTACTCCCCCCCTCCTCCAAACCTGCAGCCTGAAATGCACTTGATACCATTAGGAAACTGAGCTACGAGAATAGTAAAGACAGCTAAAAAGGAATCTCAATAAGCCAGATCAACTCTAATGGAGAGTTGAAGAGGGAAACCATGGTGGATGACCTGAGGAGAGTCAGGAGACATGAGGCATGGTGCAGTAGAGGCAGAGGTGGAGGAGCCTAAATAGGATCGTGGTCAAGGGGCAGGGTCACAGGGAGCTGGAGGGTCAAACAGTCTCGAGAGTTCATGGTACAGGTCTGGCAGATCTGGGAACCGATTGTCCAAGTCCCTGCCCCATCAGCTTCTAGTTCAAGAGCCTATTACCTTTGGGTGGGGGTTGGAGAAGTGGATTTCACTTCTAAGAGTTTTCAGAAAGTCTCCATTACCCACCAAGATGCCAAGATGGCACCAGTCAGACCCAGTATTTCTATTTCAAAAGCTGCATTAAGTAAGCGCTAATCTCAATTTTTATTGTGGCATCTGCGTCCAAGTTTGAGGCATCTATCTCGATTCTGAAAGAATTCAAGGGCACAGAATCACAAGGCACCACGTTGCTAATGAGCCTCCCAACACAAGGCCACAGTCTGAACCAAATTGAATTATGCAAATGATGAGATTTGATTTGTTTGCTTCAGTAACCCCAGCAGAGGGCAACTTTGTTCACTGTCAGGCATTAGGGCTTCACTTGAAAGGAGAGAAAGTATCAAAACACCTCTCCTTAGACATGGCGCCCCAACTGCTTCCCGCTGAGTGACTTTTCATGTTTTTGTTTTAACAAGTTAGTCTTGGCATTGGGGTTTCTCATCTGAGATGAGAAAACAGAAGTAGAAGCAGGGAAGGGGGAGGGAACATGAGTAAAAAGGAAGGAGGAGGGCTGGGATGTAGCTCAGTGGCAAAGCGCTTGCCTAGCAAGCGCTGGTTCGATCCCCAGTACCAAAAAAAAAAAAAAAAAAGAAAAGACAAAAGGAAGGAGGACAGGAAAAATGGTGAAGAGGAGTTTGAAGCTGTTTAGCACAGTGACAGCACCACGCCTATGGTTCAGTTGGACTATTTTGATAGCATCAGGCTCCAAGGTAGGGCTTCCTAAGATTTTCCCAGCAAGAGCCCAGGTAACCTGTAAGAAACATCATCTTAACCCCTCCCACACCCAGAAAAAAGCAAATAACCCATGATTGGGAAGAGGGCAGAAGGTGCCTTGAGGCTGCCAGTTGGACACTCTAGCAGAGATACTGTTCATGTTGGACAGTGAATATATATCCTAGGCTGGACACAGCTGGTTCATGTCTAGAATCATAACTCCACAGGAGGCTGAGGTCTGAGGATCGTAGTTCAAAGCTAGCCTGGGTAGGAAAGTCTATGAGGCTCTTATCTCCAGTTAGTCACCAAAAAAAGAGCTGGAAGTGCAGCTGTGGCTCAAGTGGTTGACCATCATTAGTCTTAAGCCCAAAAGCTCAGGAACAGCGCCCAGACCGAGTTCAAGCCTCAAGACTTACACACACACACACACACACACACACACACACACACACACACAATTATATCCTAAAGTTCTTTCAACAGCCAGAAAACAACACATAAAACCACAGCACACAAAAATAGAAGACTGAACTCGAATATCCCATCACAGAGCTGTGCCAAGGTCCAAGGTCGCTTAGACACAATTCTCTAGTTGTCCAAGGAAAACGTGCAAAATTCTGGCCCCAGGTATGTGAGAGTTCAGAAATTGCATGGAAGACCAGCAAGGTGGACTCTCTGGGAACCTAGACTGAAATCTGGGGGTAGAGGTGGGAGCGGAGGGGTCTTTGTAGAGCTGGAGACTTCCTCTCAGGCAGCCAGAGAAACACCTGAGGAATCGAATAGGATGACTTCCTACACCTGCATTAATGGAACTACATGTGGCCAAATGGCTTCTGGGAACTCAGGAGAAAAGGAGGAGGAGAAGAGCAGCGAGCCAAGATGATGAGGGAAAGAACCAAGTGAGCTAGTGACAGGCAAGCACTTCGCCTCACTTGGAAGGTCTGCATTTCACCCAAGAAGGCCTAATTAATGGAGAAAAAGCCACAGCAGGCTGTCTGCTTTATTGTAACATTATATCCTTCCAAAGTTCAGACCATGTACAGGTTACACTGATTCTTCCAGTCTGCTCAGCAGTAGATCATGCTGTTGTGGGAAGGTTGGAAATACCCAGAAAGAATAGTTACAGGGTTACAGTGTCATTCTTTTCATTGTACCCAATATACAGCTGTTAGCAAAGCAAGTCCCTCCCCTGTCCTCCCTCCTTTCCTCCTTCCCTCCCTTCCTCCCTCCCTCCTCCCTCCCTCCCTCCCTCCCTCCCTTCCTTCCTTCCTTCCTTCCTTCCTTCCTTCCTTCTTTTCCCCTCTCCTTTTCTTTCTGCTTAAATCTAGGCCTGGCAAGCGCTCTACCTCCACACCCTCTAGCCCTTTTTGCTTTAGTTATTTTTCAGACAGGGTCTCCAGGATCAACCTCAGACCAAGATCATCCACCTCAGCCTCCCACATAGCTGGGATTACAGACATGCGTTACACCCTTGGCCCAAGGGCAGGTTTCCTAAAAGCAGCCTAATCATCTCTGTGCCTTAGAATTCAAAGCATAGAACTCAAAGCAAGTTCAAGCTCTCTTACAGAGCCCCAACCTAGTTGTCTCCGCCCCCCCCAATTTTGCTTGAGGACTTCCTTTGTAGGGTCACAGCTTTCCATGGAGGCCTAAAGAAAGGTTGCTTTTTTTTTTTTTTTAAAGTAAGCGTATGCCCTTGAAAAAAGGAAAGGCTGGTTTTTGACTTCCCAGGTTCTAGGAGGGTTAACAGTGGTCTGTAGGTGGATTCAAGTTCGGCTCATCATGCACTGATTTTTATGACAGTCTTATTAGCGCCAGGCCCCAGCCCTGGGCTATTATGGGGTGGGAGGAAGTGAAAGGGAGAGGGTTCTCACAGAGACCCCATCGGGCCGGCCCAGCTTGGTCCTGAAGCAGGACAGTGAGGCCCTCTGCTCCTGCTGGGTCTATTCCTGAAGCTGTGGAATACGTTCCTGCAGCTCCTCTGGCCAGGTTTTGCTCTCTGTTCCTTCGTGGGTCTAGAGCTGACCCAATCTGGCACCCAGTGGACGGCCTTCCATGGGAAGGAGTTATTTGCCTGCCAGGTCTCGGGGAAGCCTCGTGCCCTTGTGCCCGCGGGCCTCCCCCTCGGCTGTGGGATGGACTCAAGGACTCTGAAGGCAAAGGGAGCTTGCCAGTCCACTGCCGAACCCCAAGTTCTAGTGTGACCCCGAACGCCAGCTCTCCGCTGCTCTCTGCATACAGGCTGTCCTCTGTGAGGTGGATGTATCCAAGCTCTCAATGTTCAAGCCATCGAGACTACTTTCGCGTATGCATATTGGATGGCAGAGGCCATGATGAAAGATGGCCGCTGGGCTGTGTGACAGTGAGTCTGGCTTCTCATTAGACGTTTACATTGTCCTCGGGTAACGATTCAAATCGGTGACACTGCAGTTGGTGTGGGAAGCAGGAGTTTATGACTGGACTTGGCCGGTCTGAGGGGCAGAGCAGAGGAAGCGCGCCCGAATTGCAGGGAGCAGGGGCGTGGGGCTGTCCTCCTGACAAGTCCTAGAAGACCTCCCAGGCCCGCAGTGTGTCACTCTGTGCAATGACACACCGGCCTTGGCTTCTGGAGGAAAGAGGCAGGGTGCAGGGTACACACACACACTGGCCAACCCAGTCATGAATCATTTTATACAAATGGCTGGAACTCAGTCCCAGCTGTGCAGGGCCTGCCGTGGGGTCACTGTGGATAATCGGCAGGTGTCCTGTTCACCCTCCGGGGGGTGTGGGGGAGCACATCACAGGGAGCATGGAAAACTTCAGGCCTAGGAGACTCCCTTGTAAAGATGAGGAGCCTCTCCTCCTCTCTGTTTAATAATGTGCTTTCCTGAATCTCTTTCTCTTTGCTTTTAATTGGCCCAGGGCCTATGGGCCAGCAGGAAGCTCCTTTGAAAGCTAAAACCACCCCCCAGCATCCTGATCTTGGCAGGACAGCCCTCTGAGCCTCTGGCTCCTTACAGCAAGCCTCCTGGGGTGACCAGCCCAAAGGGGCAATCGAGCCAGCATCAACTTACAAGTAGAACCTACTAGGTCAGGGCAGAGTGCCCTGCCCTCTGGGTGTGTGAGACACTGTTGTTCCCAGGTTAAAATGAGGGAAATGCTGTCAGATTGAGGGCCAGGAAGGCCCCAAGCTGCTCAGCAGATCTGCTGTGGCCTATGGACTGCCAGGGCCAGCGGGCAGAGCAGGGCTTTAACCTGTGCAGGCGTGGGTCACTGTGACTGTAACCAAGGCTATTAACAGGCTGCTGAACTTGAAGTTTGCATGGTAATCAACAGAGGGTCGAGACAGCTGAGTCTACAGAGCTATGTTAGTATCAGAAGGCTGCAGAAGCTGAAGAAAACACAGGATTTTGAAATGCCTGCCCAGTGTCAAATGTTCAAGGCTCCCAACAATCAAATGGAGTATTAAGAAGCTAGACAGAGGCTGTGTGTATGACTCAATGGTAGAACACTTGCCTAGCAGGCATAAAGCTCAGAGTTCAATCCCCAGCACTGAGGAAAAAGGGAATGGGAGGGGAAGAGAAGGGAAAGGAGGAGGGAGGGAAAGAAGAGGAGGGGAGGAGAAGGAGAAAGGTTGGTATAGTATTCCCAGGTTGAAATTGTGCAAAACTGTGCAATACAACATTTATATTAAAAGACTAATATCTTGCCTTCTTGTTTGTTTCCATACAAAATGTTAAAGAACTGTCAGGTCAAACTTATTTTCTCATTAAAAATAATTCTACATTTTCAGCTGGGCACTGGTGGCTCACGCCTGTAATCCTAGCTACACAGGAGGCTGAGATCTGAGGATTGTGGTTCAAAGCCAGCCCGAGCAGGAAAGTCCGTGAAACTCTTATCTCCAATAAATCACCAGAAAACCAGACATGGTGCTGTAGCTCAAGTGGTAGAGCGCTAGCCTTGAGCTGAAGAGCTGAGGGACAGTGCTCAGGCCCAGAGTTCAAGCCCCATAACCACCACCACCAACAACAACAAAATAATAATTCCACATTTTTATACTATTTGAGATGGCAGTCTAAGAAGAAATGATATTGCTATCCAAATATTTCAAATTTTGATTCCTCTGCAGCAAAGATAACTAGATTAAAAATGTCTTTTTCAAGGGCAATTGCACTTCCTTGCAAATAACGGTAGATTTGTAGAGTAATTATTCATTAGAAATGAAGTAAGCATTAAACCGGAAAGCGGCTTACCTTGAGAAGTTGAGGAAATGAACGTGCCGAGTGAATAAATAGGGCTGTTCGGCAGTGCTTATATTTTTAATCAGTTCCATCTATTAAGAAAAGTACAAAATTAGCATATACAGGGTCTAATTTGCCAAGCCGTATTAAGCTAAAGGTTATCTACTGAACTCCTTTCATACCTCTTTATTTCTTGTAGATCAGAACTTCAAGAATTGGGTTTTAGGTAACATTTATGAACTTTTATATAAGGTTCCTTAGTGAATAAAATAGAACTTTCCAAAGTTATAGTCCTGCAATCTAGTTGAGTTAATCAAGACCATGAAAACGACATGATAGATTAAATAATTTCACCCAAGACAATGAGTGTGTGCTGATACTGGAAATGTAAGTAAAAGAATGACGTTAATCTCATTTAAAGTCAAACCAGAAAAAGGGTTAATCATTATTTTCTGTTTTTTCTAAAGACATGATTAGGATTTTCAGAAACATTTGCAATTAGTGCCGCAGACTTGAAAAGTGGGAATAAAATGAGACACTGCCTCATTATTTTCCTCTTTGATTATAAAAATTTATAAGGAAAATATTTCATGGGAAACACACAAAGCCCTAGCCAGACATCTTGGGTTTCTGGTGGGTGGTCATCTGAATTATTTATGTACAGTTATCAGTAAGGCAAGAAGTAGTTTATGTTCATATAAACCAACTTTTATGGTCTTCTGGAACATGTCATGATACAGAAAATGTTTAATAAAATCTGTTAGACATTCCAAACATTCTTAGGACTCCCTCACTTCCGGAATTCTATTTCCCCTAGAATTTCTTATTGACTCCATCAAAATGGACATGGGAAGCTGGTAAAAAGCACATCGAAGATTGTAAGCTTGGATGAGCATCAGGCATGCTGCTTTCATTTTACAAACTAGTTCAAGTTAAAAACTGGACACAAAAGTTATCATTTGGCACAGCAGCAAATGGAAACTATAATCAAGGACTCTAGATCTCCTTGTTTGTCCTCAACATGACAGGACTCCTGGGCCCCCTTTTTGTTACCAGGGCTGACATATGTATACATGATCAACAAATATTTGCTCAGTGAGTTAACCCCAATTAGTACATGTGTGTTAGATGGTGACCCTACCTCTAAACCCTCTAATTACTTATTCCTGTTCACAATGATTGAAGAAGTGAAACTGAATTTTGAAAGTAAATGACTTTGAGCTCCTGAGTCTAGACTTTCTGTTAATTAAGGGCAGGATTGAGTGAATAATGGTTTGCCCTTCTTCAGATTGAAGCTCAAAGGAAATTTATTGAAGCCTGCCTGGTTAGTTTCTGCTACCCTCTGTCTGCGCAGCTCATTTCTGGTAGTAAAACTTCCCCCACTTGGACCCATTGTTAATTCTGAGTGTTGAGGGGTTGACCAATAGCATTGTTGATTGAAAAGCATAACCATAGGCGATTTATCTTCTAGGATGCCTGCTTAGAAAACGAATGCTTGTCTATGCATGTGCTTGGCATAAAGATTATCCATGCATTTATCTTCAGATTATTTGCATTCAAATATTTTCTCTGCACACATTAAAATCATAAAGAAAGCCCCTACAATTGCACAAGAATACTGGAAAAACAGGTCAGAAAAAAATACTTTCACACATTCAACATAATATTACATTCTCTAAATGCGTGTCAATGTGTTAAATTTAATAAAATAACAGTAACGGTTAGTCTTTTGAGAAGTGTCATAACAGTCATAAAGCTGCCTATTTCTCAAGGAAAAATGGATTAGCGGTGACAAGGGAGAACTCTTTCTAGATGTATCTTTAAACATAGAAGAAAGGTGCTAATGCTCATGTTTATGCATGAGTTCAGAGAGAACAGACAACATTTCCCTCACCCCCTTGCATCTCAAAGATTTCAATTTATGGTGCACCACAGCACAGGTTTAATGCCTCATGTTGAAGGCATTCAAAGAAATGTATAGGTTCTAACCAGTCTATCACTCACATAATTTGTTCAGTGAATGAATTCAGCCCTTTCTGATCCTGGTACAGTCTTTATTCCGGTGTCAGGTGGAGCTCACAGCATTCTCATTACGATACCTAAGGCAACACAATGCTAGGCTGATGGCATGGTTCAGGTGGTAGAGCACCAAACATGAGCAAGGAAGCCAAGGGAGAGTATGAGGCTATCTATGTTCAAGCCCTGGTATCAGCATCAAAAAGAAAAGAAAATCACAATGCCAAGTAAACTCATCTCCTGAGGGCATCAGAGAGGCTACACACTGTATGTACCAAGCCATGCTCTCTACACCTGCGGTCACTTAATCCTTCTAAACATTGAAGGATTAATTAACCCCTTAGGTTAAATAGCTACATAGAGTGCTTGACCGTTTTACTGACACATGAAGGTAGAGCTAGATTTCAAATCCAAATCTGTTAAATCCAAAAACTCTGGTGCAATGGCTCTCAAATACAAATTCCATCTGGTTTGTATCCCTGAGTTGCTGATTGGATCTATCTGCCTTTTCACATAGAAGCACAACAGCTCTGGAGAAGGAAGAGGGTTCTTGGGATAGGAACACAGATTCTATCTTTCATGGGATGTGTTGAAAAAAGTCAAAGAAGAAAAGCACTGAGAAATCTAAGTATGACAGGAATAGAAGAGTAGGTCAGTAATAGAGTGCTTGCCTAGCACGAATCTAGGCCCATCCAAAGCATTATGCACATACATAAAGAAATAAAAGTATTAAATACCAAAGACTACTTTCAACAAGTTCTAGTGATGGAAAATGGAGTGCATTCTAGAAAGCTGATGTGAAGTTTAAATGTTTTAAAAAAGGTTAAGCGTGCCACAGGATGTATCTATAGGAATAAGTTAGATCACAGTGTATACACTGTTGAAATGGAATGGAGGTTACAAAAAGAAAGAAAGAAAAGGGCAAGAGCCAAACAGGCTTACAATCCAGAGGAGAAACTCACTTGCAGGAAGCAGGTTCTAACTGTCTGCTTTCTAACTGTCTAGGGTGGGAGAGTAGCAAACTTTTCACCTGAAAACACAGAGAAAACTTTGCTCCTGATTTCTTTAGGAAATGCTTGTCAGCAGCAAGGTATCCAACCCCACTCAACTGTGAATTCTTGTGTCACTCATGAGCAACTAGATACCCTATACTTTGGCAAAGCATCTGAAAAGAAAGAAAGAATGTGTGCTTATTAACACACCAAAGAAAGCATAACTCAGAGGAGAAATGTGGCACCTTTAACTTCAAAGGATGGCTGGAGACTTGGGTTACCTGTGCTCTTCCTGGGGGGCAGGGAAGGCCTCTAGCAGAGGGGAGGAGGAATTCTCCCTACCTTTTTAGCCCAGAACGGTGCACAAAGCAGAATGCATGCATGCCTGCAATGCAAAGGAATTCCACCAGGGGGAGCCATGGTATGACCATGGCAAAGCAAGAGTCTGAACTGTAGAGAAAATCAGACTGACAGATAAAATTGGAAGAAGAGAAGCCTGGTTGCTTCTACCTCCATCCTACCCGCCCTCCCCCCTTTTCCTTCTAAATTTCCATGTAGAGGATTCTGTCTTTGTGGACAGAAATCCAAGACAAGAAGTCCCTGTTTTCAGAACAGGATGAGCTCTTGATTGCTATGGCTCAGAGATAGACTAGGCTCATTCCTTGGGTCAATCTCCAGGTCTGATTGGAGAACCTCCTGCCTTTCCCCCTATGAAGCCAGAAAGGTCTGAGGATCATTTTAAGAGGCCATTGTAAGCCAGGGTAAGGACATGGGATAATGTGTGGACTCTGGACTGCAGGAAAACATCCCCTGGAACTTGAGGGGAAAGCCAGGTGTGGTGGTGCATGCCATAATCCCAGCTACTGCAGACAGAGCAAGACCAGAGGACTGAGAGCTCAAGGCCAGACTGGACTACAATGCAAGACTCCAAAACAAAGCAGAAAAACACCAACAAACAAGCACAACAACTTCAGGGAGACATGGCCTCTTTGATAGTTGAGAGACTCCTGGTGAGAATCAATCTCATGCATGAGAAACTTTGCTTGCATAGTGGATAATGCATTGTAGTAAAGGTAAAAGTTTCTCAATATGGTAATAGTCTTGTTGCAAAAATCCTTTGCTAGAGCTGTGTACATGTCTTTTCTAAGGAGTCCCTCTCTCCGCAGAGGCACAATATTTGGGAGCTGGCTTGACAGGTCTGTCTTGTATTTGCAGAAAGAACAGGAAGTATCTTTCTTTCTCCCTCTCTCTGTCACTCTCTCTCTCTGTCTCTGTCTCTCTCTCTCTCTCTCTCTCTATATATATATATATATATATGACTTTCCAGGAGATTTCCATGCTCATAATTTTATAGAACCATTTTCTAATGGTTCCCCACTGTCTACTTAGCTTAGCATGCAAAGGTCTCCAGGGCTAGACCCCCATCTCTTTGAAGTCTTCTATGCATTTCTCTTGATTTACATAGTTTCAATCAGTTTCCTATGAATTCTTATATGTCCCTATAAAATAAGAGGAAGATAGCACTTTTCTAAAAGTATAGCTTTAAGGATTAGAAATCCGCTGACAGCGTTATGTCTAATCTAGCATTCGCAACAGATCCTCACTAAATATGAATGAATGAGCAATGGAGAGGTGGCATTCAAAAATTAGCAGAGTGTCGGTACAGGGCACATGCCTGTAATCCTAGCATTCAGGAGGTTGAGGAACAAACATGAATTTAAGGATAACCTATATTATATTGGAATAATAACAACAACTACAACAACCACAGAAAGAACAGTAAACTTTCTTTTTTCTTTTTTTTCCCCTCCCAGTATTGAGTTTGAAGTCAGAGCTTCCTTGCACATACATGCTCAGCAAGGCACAACCAGATAAGCCACAACCAGCCCTTTTGGTTTTAGTTTGTTTTCCAGATGAGGTCTAGTGCTTTTGCCTGGCTGGTCTCAGAACTTGGCCTCCTATCTCTACTGCCTTTGTAGCCGGGGTGACAGCTGTGTGCCACTATTCCTGGATTATATTTCAAATAGGACTGTGCTAACACAGAGGCAATCCTCAAACCATGGTTCTCCTATATTCATCTCAAAGTAGTTTAGTTCACAGGTGTGTACCACAACACCCAACCCTAAGAGAACCTTCTTGATTGAGCAGCCCAGAGGATTGTGCCTTTGGGAAGCTTTGGAGGAATCTCTGTAGCCTTTGGGCTTTTCCTGCACTGAACAGGATTTATTGAGGTAAGACTCTATTTTTCAGTTTTATTTCTTTATAGCCATAGTTCAGATTTGGAACTTGGAGCAGTCGAGAGCACTGGGAGGAGGAGTTTCACACCTTGCACAGAGCACTGTGCTGTACTGTTCGTGAGCTGGAGGCGGACACGCTCCAGAGTCCTCCGGCGCAGTGTGGCTGCCTCTCCCACCTTCGTGAACATTTTGCAAGGCTTAGACCATTGGAAGATCTGCCGAGTGCCCTTAGTGTGGATGGGAGTTATAGAGTCGAACAGGTGCCTTTTCTGGCATGACTGTGGAAGGAAGGAAGCTAGTCCAGAATGCCACAAATGGAATTGCAAATGCTGTGGGGTTCAGAGGAGACTTCCAAATACTCACGCAGAGTTCCCTGACTAAGGCCCAGTGAACTAGGTAAACTAGCTAGGTGAACTCCGTGGAGGAGGAGTTGGCCCAAGTGCAAACGCCCAAGGTATTTCTATTTCTCCAAGAGCAGATGTAACAGGATTTTTATAGCCAACTCAACATTTGGTGTCTCCATGTTTCCTTTCCCCTTCACAATCCCTTCAGTGTCTTATTCCATTAAATAGATTTTTAACATTTAATTGTGTGTACGCACATGTGTAGGTGTGTGCACACACGTGCATGCGCGCCCTTTACAGGAAGAAATGTCAAGTGAATCTGACCGTGGCCTTTGTGTATGATTGGAATGGTATAGAGTTTATTTGTGAGTAGTTTCAAAGGTGAAGAGAGTTCGGTTGCACCTGAGACAGAAACACTATGTATTTATTTATTTTTATAAACAATGTTTTCCTGGGAACTCATTTTCCCAGTTCTACAGTTGAAGGGGGAGAGGGGGAGACCAACCACAAAAGTCTGACTACTTGCCTAGTCATTCATTCTTTCATAAAATTAGCAAGAAGAGGAGCTATTCATACCAGGAAATATTTCCTGAATAGATTACGTTAAAATAACATTTCTTTCTCTGCTTGCTTTATTCTCTTTGAAACCTTAGTGAAAGGAATGTGTAGGATCAAGGACACGTTTTCTCAACATTACTGAGCGACGTCAGACTTGGTTGCTTGTCTGGCTGTTTCCTGGCTGCTTTCTTCAAAAGCCAGGTTCAGGTTGACTGGCTCCAAAGAGGCCACTGTCACTGTCATTAGGTTGTTTTTTTTTGTTTTTGTTTTTTTAATAGCGAAATTGTGTATTTATTTCTGCTACTTGATCTCTACCTTCACCTTAGGTTGTGAAAACTTGCTTTCTAATTTAATAGGGATCTGTAATAACGATTCCTGACCACAGGAATCAGAAATGTCTCAGCTATATAATACACAGATTATGCTAGAATTAGTATAAATATATCACAGAATCTCAGGGCCGGAAAGGACCTAAAAACATTGTCTAGTCCATTCCCTGGCTTCCAGACAAGCCAACCATTCCAAACAGATGAGAGCTAACCTATATTTCAGAGCAGAAAGATGACTTTGTCTTTAACCCTTTCTTGGACCTAGCAATCTGTATACATTGTTAGGAAATTATCAACCTTTCAAAATGATTCCATTACAGTTAAACTTGTATTCTGTTTTCTCATATTTAACATAGGGAATAAGGTAGGTTTATCTGTGTAAAATCCCACAGCATAACTGGTTTTGCTGGTGCTATGGCCTGAACTCCAAGCTTCCTGCTTGCTCAGCTTGCTTGGTCATAATGGCACTCTGCCACCTGAATCACACCTACTATCTGATTTTTGCTCATTAAGTAGAGATGGCATCTCATAGACTTTACTATGTGGGCTGGCTTCAAACTTTGCTCTTTCAGGCTTCAGCCTCATGAACCATTGGTGCCTAGAATATATATACTGTATTTTGTGTTCTTGGCACTTGTACATTCCTGAATATCCCATGTCTAAGCCTTTAGTGACCTTTGTCTTCTATTCTCTGGGTTATCTGTATCCTCTCCAGCAGTGGCAATTAAAATCTAGCAAGTGTGTTTTATGAGTCACCTGAGAACTGAGCATGTTCAGTATGTTTCCACATACCGAAATATTTAAACAGTGGATATACTCTAAGACTTAGAACCAAAGGAAAAGTGAATTTAATCATCATAATAAAGTTACAAGAACATAGGCTATTTATTCTTTCAGGTAGTTAAAGTACCTAATCATATTTACTCATTAATTAAGGGAATCAAAGAGAATTGATCCCTATTAAATAGTTATGCATCTAAAATATGATACTTGTAAATGCCATACAACATAATTTTTTATTAGAATCTATTTTGGGGGGGTCACCTCAAAATATCTTTGGCTCGTTGGCAATGCCTATTTATTTGTTGTATTGGTAATGACTGTTTAAAGTTGATACTTAAGCTCTATTTTTTGGTGCCAGTCCTGGGGTTTGAATTCAGGGCCTAGTAGTTGTTCCTGAGCTTTTGTGTTTAATGCTAGAGGTCTACTACTTGAGCCATAGCTCTACTTCCAGCTTTTTCTTTCTTTTTTTTTGGGGGGGGGTGCTTAATTGGAGGTAAGAGTCTATTTTCCTGCTCAGGCTGGCTTTGAACCATGATTCCCTGAGCTCAGCCTCCTGAGTAACTAAGATTTTAGGCATCAGCCATCAGTGCCCTGCTTAGAGCCTCTCTTAAGAGAGCTTTCAAAGGAATGGTCATTTTGATCTTTGTTTTGTGCATGACCTAAATATACCAGTGTTAGGGAAAATACAGTTGGCTTACACCACTTTGGGGTCCCACTTTGACCCCAGATAAAAAATAGGATAAATAAGTCATAAGTGAGATCTAAAGTGAAGATTATCTCTACAAAATAGAATCAGATAGAAATTCCATACGTGTGAACCCAACCAGACAGCAAAACATGTGGCATTTATTCCACATACCATGCTCTGTATATTGGCCGGATGGGGGTGTGTGCACGTGTGTGTGTGCGTGTTTGTGTGTATGTGTGTGTGTGTGTGTGTGTGTATGTGTGCATCTGAAGTTTCTTTTTCTTTTTTTTTGCCAGTCTTAGGGCTTGAACTCAGCACCTGGGCACTGTCCCTGAGTTTCTTTTGCTCAAGGCTAGCACTCTACCACTTGAGCGACAGCACTACTTCTGGCTTTTTCTGCTTATGGGATGCTGAGGAATTGACAGGGCTTCATGCATGCAAGGCAAGCACTCTACCACTAGGCCACATTCCCAGCCCTCATCCTATGCTTCTAAGAGGACAAAAACAACTTCTGGAGACCAGGTTGACAAACTTGACCCTCAAAAATGATCGTTGAGGAAGTGGTGCTGTAGCTCAAGTGGTAGAGCACTCGCCTTGAGCTGAATTGCTGAGGGACAGCACTTAGGCCCAGAGTTCAAGCCCCATGACTGACAAAAAAAAAATGATCATTGAGTGTACTATGCCCAACTTTTCTCCACGGAGTCCATTGGTGTTACCCTATAGAGAGATTTACAAACCAGGCTTCACAGGGTCCTAGCAGAGCACAGCTCTCATCCCCTGATCTAGCATGACCCTGTGTAGGTCAGCTCTACTTGGGCGAGGCTGATCCACACAGTTGGGGAATTCTTCTGCCACTTCTGAAGACCCCAAAGCCTGATCTGAAGTCCAGATTCCCCATCAATCAAGCAGACTGCTGGCCATAATGCAAAGAGAAAATGCCGGGAAGAAATGCTAGAAGAAAATTTTATCATTTGGGCTGTGAGAATGTCAGAATATTTATACTTTGGTGCTTTTTACTGCTCTGAGATTGTGTTACTTATTGTAGCTAAATAGACAGTGACTAATGTATACCGTCCATCAACTCTAATAAGAAGTCTCCATTTAGGTAGACTTCTCAGATTTTAGAGTTCCTGCACAAACCCTAATTTCCCTTCTACCAGCTGGCAAAAATACAGCAAGAATGTGAAACTCGGGTATTTACTCAGAGGATTTTGAAGAATGTCCTGTAAGGCACCCAATAATTACATGAGTGAATGGAAATAAAAGCCAACAGAACAATGGGAAAAGTCAACTTACTTGTTCGTTTTTAGTGAGCCTGGTTTTGTTGTGGATGTCAGATGTGACCAGATTGAATCCATGCTTCTCTGACAGGATTCTCAGAAGCAAGACCACAGTGCGACTGCCACACTTGCCTACCCTGTTGTACACCACCTGGCTGGGGAAAGGGAGGACCTGTGAGAAGAGAAGACAGCAAGCATGAGACCTCCGGGATGCTTCCCTCAACCCCAGAGCAAGGAACGCTGGGTGAACACAAGTGAGCTGTCATGCGAGCGGGAACAGTGAAGTCACACGTGCAGTGTGCATCTTCACAGGCTACGGTGAGAACCTGCTTATTCACACCAGCACACACCTGGTCTGGCCACAGTGCCTGCGGTTTAAAGACCGACTGTTAGCACCACATTCTAGATAAATGTGTGCTTTCATGGAAATCCTTTCTGCAAGTCATACTTCATCAATACAGAGCGAGCAAGGCCAAAATACAGCCTGGTACAGGTGGCTCAACCCAATAATCTTAGCTACTCAGAAAACTGAGATCCAAAGGATCAAGGTTTGAAGCCAGCCTAGGAAGAAAAAAATCCACAAAATCCTTATCTCTAATTAGCCAGCAAAATGCCAGCGTGGGAGAGTGGCTCAAGTGAAAATACCAGCCATGATACAAAAATAAATAAATAAACCAAAAACCCGGCCCGGTGCTGGTGGCTCACGCCTGTAATCTTAGCTACTCAGGATGCTGAGATCTACAGATCACGGTTCAAAGCCAGCCTGGGCAGAAGAGTCCATGAGACTCTTTTCTCCAATTAACCACAGGAAAATTGGAAGTGGTGCTGTGACTCAAGTGGTAGAGCACTTGCCTTGAGCTCAGGGACAGTGCTCAGGCTTAGAGTTCAAGTCCCATGACCAACAAAAACAAAAAGCAAAACAGAAAATAAAAATCCTGAGTGAGAACCTGAGTTCAAGGCTTGGTAGCAACATACAAACACATACACAATGCTGAGATATAATTCACGAACCATGAAATTCATCTTTGTAAAGTCCATGTAGGAGGGGGGAGAGGGTTAGTATATTCAATAGGCTACGTAAGCGTCACTATCAATAAATTCCAGAACATTCCCATCCACACAAAAAGAACCTGTTAGTAATAATTTTCCTTCCTCTAACTATGCAAGGCCCCTGGAAACCATGTATCTATTTTCTGCCTCATGGTGTTGTTGCTGCATTCTCTAACATCATAGAGATGAAACCATCATGTATTGGCCTTTGCTGCCTGGCTTTCCAGTAGGTTGTTTTCTAGGTTCCTTATGTTGGGATATGACTCAATGCTTCATTCTTTCAGCTGGTTGAGTAACATTACATTGTACGAACATACCGGGTTTTGTTTATGCAGCCTTGGGATGATGGACACGGCAATGACTTCTGCTTCGTGAACCACTGTGACTAATGCCGCTATGCACGCTTGTGTACATGCGTTTGCACAGACATATGTTTTCGATTCTCTTGTGTATATACCTAGGAAACTGCTGGGTCTATGGTAACCCAATGTTTAATTTTTTTTTGAGGAGCTGCCAAACTTTTCAATACAGCTGCATCATTTTATATTCTCATCAGGAGGATGTGAGAGTTCCAATTTCTCCGCATCCTTGCCAACACTTGTTTCTGCCTTTGTGTGTGTGTGTGTGTGTGTGTGTGTGTGTGTGTGTGTGTGTGTGTTAATCTTTATTCCAGCCAGTGCGGTGGGATGTCACTGTGGTTTTTATGTGGATTTCCCCCAATAACTAATAATGTTAAACATCTCTTCATGTGGTTTTCAGTCATTGCATAGTTTTTTTTTTTTTTGGAAGAAATGAGTATATAAAATTGAGTTGCCTTCTTGTTGCTATGTTTTAAAATATACATGCACATAGGAGATGGTAGTCTGATTTCATACTTTTGCATGTGGAAATCTAATCATTCCAGTACCATTTATTTGTCGGAAGCATTATTCTTTCCTCAGTTAGTTGCTTGGCACCCTTCTCCACAATCCACTCACCATACTCACAAGTGCTTATTTCTTGATTCTTAATTCTATTCCATTGATCTATACGTTTATCCTTTAGGCCAGTACCACACAATTTTTTTTTACTAGGATAACCTTGGGTAAGAGGGATGAGCCCTTCCAACTTTGTTCTTGATTGTTCAAGATAGTTTTGACCAATCTGAGTCTCTTGTGGTCCAACAATATTTTCGGATCAACTTGTCACCACCCCTGTCCCCAAATGGCAACTGAAGTTTTGAAAAGAATTGTATTTGATATGTAGATCAATGTAGGGAGTACTGCCATTTTAATAATAGGAAGTATTCCAATCCATGAACATAAGGTTGCTTTCTGCTTATAGTGTATATGCTTTTGCATACTTTATATTCCTTTTGCTGAAGTTATTATTTTTAATATTATAAATGAAATTGCTTCTTTATATTTGGATTGGCTGTCCACTAATAGGAATACAATTGATTTTTGTATATAGGTTTTATATTCTACTATCTTGTTAAACTCATTTGTGAGCTCTAATATCTTTCCTATGTGTGTGTGTGTAGCGGGGGGGGGGGGGGGGGTGATTCTTTTGGATTTTCCATGTGCATGATCATCATGGCATCTGTAAATAGAGATAGTTCTATTTTTATCTTTCCCATATGTATTCCTTTATTTATTTTTCTTTCCCACTTGCTCCAGGACCACGGTTTTGATAGAGTACAGGAGCCATTATAAAAAGTATCTATGATTATTTATGTTCTTAAGAAAGATATTATTTCCATCTTGAATGCTTAGAACAATGCCTGATGAATGAAAATCAAAGGATTTTCTCATTCAGCAAGTCCTCGTAACAAAAGATTATAAGGGGTAAATAAAAAACGCATGCATAAATGTACACAACACTTTGTCACGGTGTGCCATTGAACTTGTGCCTTCGTAACTCCAGTTTAACTCACTTTGCTGAGATACGCAGTGTAGCATTTCCTAAATTTGGAAACAGTCATTGGAGTAAAACAAAATGCTTAGATCACTTGCTTAGGAACTAGTCACTACCATTTTGGTACAACTCTACTCGATGCTTTTTCTTAAAAAACAACAACTATTTGTCTTAGCATATATGAGCTGTACAAAAGGATGGGGTTTCATTGTGACATTTCTGTCCATCTACATGCTGTACTTCGATTGTATTCTAGTGCTCTTCCTTCTCCTCCATGTTTTTTTTTCACCTATAATCAATACCTCCTTTCTTCAGCCATCTGTTTCTCCTACTGTGGATCCTCACGGGGCCTAGAGGATGCCTGTACACAAAAAGCCTCAATAGATCCTGATCAGGCTTGATTGCTCTGAGGACTTCAATGGACCACTGAACACTAACAATGATTCTGCTAAACCTTGAAACCAAGAGAATCTTCAAACACTGATGATGGTTCTAAGCAAACACTGGCAGAAGTCATCAGGGTAAAAGAACACCACTGTAATAGGGCACTTTCACTCATCAGGTTATCAGTGAGTCTGGTTTTTTGGCAACTAGCACAACTCAGTATTCAGAAAAATCAGTCATGTTCAGAGCTATGAACAAGACTCAGGGAGGGTAAGGCCTGCTTCATGCTTACAGTGTGCGGCCAGGCTTGGTACTGGTAATCCTAGCTACTTGGGCAGTAGAGATCGAAATATTGCAAGTCAGGGTCAGCCCAGGCCAAAAGTTAAGTGAGACCTTCATCTCAACAAATTCATTAAGAAGGGTGGATCAGTCCTTTAATCCTAGGTATGCCAGGGGCATAGTTAGGGGGATTGTGATGAGAAACCACCCCAGCAAAAAATGAGAAATTCTATTTGACAACTAGAGCAAAAAGGGCTAGAGCCACGGCTTAAATGATAGAGAACTTGCTCAGCGAGGAAAGGCCCTGAGTTTGAATCCCAGTACCACTAAAATAATTCACTGATATCTTTTGTTGAAATGCACTATTTGGAAAGATGGTAAAAATAAAAAGGGGAGGGGGTGAATTGTTATGCAGGGCTTGACCCATCCTAAGTTCTGTGCTGTGTATACCTTTTTAGTGTGCATGTGTTCTTGTCCTGGGGCTTGGGCTGGGCTAGGCTCTGTCCTTGAGCTTTGGTACCCCAAACTAGTGTTCTACCACCTGAACCTCAGCTCCACTTCTGGCTTTTTGGTGGACTGACTTTCCTTTCTGGACTGGCTTTGAACTGCAATTCTCGGCTCTCAGCCCCCTGAGTAGCTAGTATTGTAGGCCTAAGTCACTGGCACCCAGCTGTCAAGTGGCTATGTTTACATTCTTAATCAGAATCAAATAATATCATTGTCTTCTAGTCTTGCTGTGCATTTCTGCAGGAAAATATTACCAAATGACGTAAGCGTCGCTAGCAGCATCTGTGACCCCTAGAGTGCCACCCTCTTCACCACAGACCATGGACTCATAGAATAACAGGATCTAAGCTCTAGAAGCAACTCAGGTTAATCCATCCATTGCAACCCGTGGTACTTAGCACGCCACCCTCTTCAGTGCACTGTTTGATTTGGCTAGAACCTGCCTCCTAGTATGCTATTTCAACTCCTCAAAATACCCTTGATGTAGAAAGTATAATTACATTTAGATGAAGAAGCTGAGGCCCAGGAAGAGCACTTGACTTTTATTGTGTATGTGCCGGTACTGAGCCTTGAACTTTAATCCTGTGCTGTCCTTTAACTTTTACACTGAAGACCGGCACTCTACCAATTGCGCCACAGCTCCACTTGTAGCATTTTAGTGGATACTTGTGGAGACCAGAGTCTCCTGGACTTTCCTGCCTGGGCTGGCTTCAAACTGTGATCCTCAGATCTCAGCCTGGTGAGTAGCTAGGATTACAGGCGTGAACCACGAAGGCCTGACCATTTGACACTTTTAAGGTCACCCAAGTAAAACATAGCACTTGACAACTGAAGTCCAACTTTCTGCTCTCCTGACCCCTGAGACGATGCTCTCTTCAACATACAATAAAATCCTAAAATGAAAAGGGTTTTTAGTGGCCTTCTGGGACAGAGAGACTATTTGCTTTCTTGTGGCTTGCATTATAGCCAATCTTATGAACTATGCTGCTTTTCCACAGTCAGTGATTACAACCAGAATGGGTCAGCCATTATCCAAGTCCCCGGATGCTGACAGTG